TGTCTTCTATGACTTACCTGGCACATAGCTGAGCACTAGAAAAGACTACTGAAACAGCTGTAATGCATGCAAAGTTGGGTATAAAATTGCACACTAATCTTTGCATGTGGAAATGGGCTCAGAATTTGTCTGAAAACCCAGAATAGATCTCCTAGTACAATATGTTATAGAAAAAATAGACTGCCGTGTCCATAGGAATAATAAAAGGCTCTTTACAATCTGGCTCCTTTATTATGAATTACATCTACCTTTGTAAAAACTGAAAAAAACTGCCCAGAAGAAGAAGAATATCCCTTAAACAGTTTTCATACATGTGTGTAAACATAAGATGGTATCTCATAACATCAGCATACTAGAAATCTTATAGTTATAAAACTTAGTTATAACTTTGATTATTGAAACAGTTGCAATAATTACCATAATTTGTATTAGTATTAGCATAATTACATTCATAATGGCAGTCCTAGTAAAATGTAAGTATGAGTCTTCAGGATACCTTTGTCTTTGTTTTAGTTTGTCCTTGTTTTATAGATTTTTGTTCTGTGAATTTGGTGCTTATTAACCGAAGGACAGGGACCACCACTTATAATGATAAGAGAACAAAAACGTTTCTCTTTTAGCCTCCAGGCCTTGCTCAAGATATTTTAAGACTAGGATATTTTCAGCAGAGAAGTCTGCGGTAAAATAATCGGAAGTGTCTGTTTTGACAGCTTTCAATTGGTCTAGCTATTTCTATCATATTTACTTTAGAATGGACTTCTCAGGAAACTAGATCCACATTGTAGGAGGTTTCAAAAGAAGAATTACATGATGTCAGTTTTTTTAATTTGTATACATTTTTAAGCCTTCAAAAAAGAGTTCATAAGGATCAGTTGGAACAATGATTACACAGAGACTGTAAGCAGCACATCAGTGTTAGCAACAGGGTACCATATCATTAGTCCTTGGCAAGATTTTTTTAGGCTATTTATATCCCCATGTAGTGTACCTACAGTACCCACCCACACCTGCAGATGTGTTTCCTCTCAGGATAGAAACACGAATTTTGTCTCATGTCAAAAGCCTCTCTAATATTGTTGGTTCACTGTTTCTTTAGAGACTCTTTAGACTCTGCATGAGGTTTTATGAAGGGTAAAAGTGGTTTTAAGCCAAGCTTTAAAGTTGAGCTCTTCCTTATATAGACTTAAACCAATAGTATATTCCACCCTTGAACCCACTAACTATAGTATTACAGATTTTAAGGCATCACCAACTACAGCACTCTCTGTCCCTTCTTTCCTCTCCCACTTTGTCCATGGAACCATGAGAAAATTATCAGAGGCCTTGGACTTAAGCCTCTCCTCAAACTCTAAATATAGCTTCCAGAACCACCTCCCCTACTCCTGCCCGTGTCACTGGCATTGGTACTTACTAGAACCATATTACTTGCGATGATGCTTTATTTATACATCTTCTCCTGTTCACATTTCTCCTTTTTATCTGACACCCCAAACACATGCTTTGGGGAAAGCCGGTATGCATCTTCATAGTAATACAATACTTTTATTTTATTTCTTTTGATCTGCTTTGTTAACAAGGTTGACATCTGAAATGTTTTCACTGGTATCTGAATTTGCTCTACTGTTCACATATAGGAACTATTATTTCAGGCTGTCTGCAAATTCAGGCAGCTTTCTCTACATTAATAAGATTCACTTCACATTTTGAAGGTTTTCTCTGAAATGATAACAGCTAAAGTCTTACTCATTAACAAAATAAGAAACGAGACTCAGGAGAACAGTTTTGATGTTTGTTTACATCCTCAGCTAGTCTTTTCTGCCTCCCTCTCACCCAAAAAGTTATGTCCTACACTTCGAAAAGCAATTATTTAGGCCTTCTCAAAGCTGTCTATGAAGAACTGCAGAACTCAGAGCTGCATAGAACTGCAACAGTGCTGCTCACTACAGTCTGCCTCTTACAGGCTCCTTCCTTGGCCCCATGCCAAGACATGAAAGACTTGAGGGGCAGGCCTTATGGCGGTCCTCACACTGCCATCCCCATGAAAATTCTCTCCCAGTCTGTTCGAGGAGTTTATGAACCTGTACACTTGCTGTAGCTGAATGGGGATTGACCAAAGCATGTATTCAGGTTCTTTTCTGAATCAGGGCCATAGGTTATCCAAACTGGAATTTGGTCAGAGTACAGGCTACAAGGCTCAAGCTTGTAAAAGCACTATGGGATTTTTAAGGAGCAGGAGTAGATATAAGTTACACTGGTGCAGGAGATTGTTGTTACCAGACATTATGCTTGCTTCATTGCCGCAACTGGCAGAGGAGATGCTTTCAGGCACAAATTAAAATTATTAGAAGGTCAAACCCAAATACCAAGTAACTATTTCTCTTCTGCAAAAAGAGTTAATTTCTGGTGATGTATGACACTGAACACAAATGGAGGTGTCCATCATTATGTGAAAGAGCATGTGACGCAGCATGGACAGTTATCTAGATCACTAAGGGAGGCTTTGCATAGACATGTCTTATGGAAACCTTAAACATAAAAGTATGTGAAATCTAGGAAGATGAATAAAGCAGCTACAGCCAGGTTTGCCTTGGGGAGCCTCAAGTTATCATGCTAGGTCTACTGCTCTAAGTTGGATATGAAAAAGAAAAATAGACTTTTTTTAAAGCCCTGGTGTGAAAAAATGCTACAGCTTTGCACTTTGTTCTGACTGATTCTAAAATGAATGGTTCATAGTGACATTTGACTGGTTTTTCACTGTAAAAGGAGATTTCTCTTAACACAACTGTGTTGGCATCTGAAAGGTCAGCTATCTCCCTTTGACATTCCCTGCTTTAGTAAGATAGTAGTCATTATTCCTTCTATGAGCAGATAGGGTCTTGTTGCTGTTCCCTTAAATAACTCTCTACATCATGCTTAGCTGAGAAATTTCATTAGTACATCCCTTCTTATTTACATCAGAAGTAAAGAATCATGAGGCTGGGGTTATAGAAAAAGCTGTTTGCATCAGAAGAATTCCACAGAAATGAGTTTCCTGCAAAACTAGTTTGATGTCCTTCAGTTTGAGACTTTTATCACACATGGGGTGCATTTACACAGGCAAGTAAGCATGACTAAATGTAATGGGCATTAAGCAATTTTTGGCAGGTTTCCACACCAGTAGCAATGGGAGAAAATATTAGTGAGGGGAGGGGCAGGGGACTGAGGGCTATTGCGGGCTGGCATGCACTGGTGGCAGAGGAATGCACAGTGGGGGTGCTGGGCATGGTGCTGCAGGGTGGTGGCACTATGGTGGTGCTGCTGTTACCAGCTACCACAAAATTAGTTTGGGGAAGCTAAGCCCCATTTGACCACAGGTGGCAGAAGGCCAGGGCTACACATGCAGGGGCTTGGGACTAACGTTATTGTACTTCACACCAATGTTAGTCCCAAGTCCCTTCAGCCCTGCCATGTGCCCCTGTGGTCACCAGGGGGAGCTCCAGCCTTCAGCCACATGGCTACCAGCACCTGACAGCCATGTTGAAGCCAGAGCCAACTGCTAGCATTTGGCATCTTGGAAGCTCTGATCCCTAGCCAGGCCTTCCCTGCCCAGGAGCCGTGTGCTCAGCACAGGGGCAGCATGCAGCAGCTCCTTCCCTGCATACCCTGCTTCCACTGACTGGCCCATGCCCAGCCAGGAGATGCCCCAGGGAGGAGCTGGTGCTGCTGGGGCCAGCAGTGGTGTGTCTGGTTGCAACTTGTGGCAGGATGTGGGGCTGGGCCAAGGGTCAGGCAGCTGGTGGACAGGGCTCCCCGAGCTGCCAGTGCATGCAGCAGCTGGGGAGGAGGGTGGGGTGGGGCACTGAAGCCCCAAAGGCCCCTCCTCCAGTGACATGTCACTGGAGGCATCAGGGTGGGGTGTGCATGTGGGCAGGCTGTCCCTGCGGGTGGCACTCGCAAGCCTGCAGCTTGGCTCTCAGGGTACCGTCAGCTCCTTCATAAAGGGCATGGTTTTTTGGGCATGACTGGACAGAATATTGATGTTGTTCACAGCCATCCACTGTGCCCACAAGACCTCGACCTTTACGTGGCACTGCCACACTGTCCGGGAGTGGCCTTGCGCATGCATCCTACCTGTAGATGGCTTCATATGTGTGGGCGTTCAAGTGCCTATGCCACACGAGCTGCATCTGCATGTCAGCACAGCCCCACAGCACCATGAGGTCGTGCACCTCCTTCTGGGTCCATTTGGGGGTGGCTGGGATGGGCATGCACATGTAGGTGGGGCTGGGGCTTGATGGGAGGACATGGTGGACGTGATTCCCGTGCCAGGTCTCTGGGCCCCTGTGTGGCTGTCCCTGCATGGTTGGCCCTGGATGGCTGCCAGCAGCACCCAGTGCAGGGGCATGGTCAGGGACTGGGAGCTGCATGACGGAGGCGCTTCACTACACGACCTGCAAGCACAGGGGACAGCTGGGGGTGAGCAGCAGCAGGGAGCAGGTGCTGGCTCTGGTGCCAGAGACAGCCAGACAGCAGCCTTGGTGGAACTGGGCTGGCCAAGGGGTGCAGCAAGCTGTAGCCTCTTGCAACCCATCTGTGGCCAAGCAGCAGCTCTGGAGGGGGACAGGCTAAGGTCTTGTCCAGGGGGGCACACAGGGCCTGCTGGGCTGCTACACAGATGAGCAGTCTCCTGCAGACTGCTGGTATATGTGTGCCCCAAGGCACAAAATGGCTGCTTGCTTTTATACCCTGCAGCTTGGGGCTGCCAGGGAGCAGTCCAGCCCTGGAGCAGAAGAGGCAGCCAGACAGAAGCCCTGGGGCTCAGCTCAGACCGGCCCCCTAGTGGCAGGGCAGACCCAGTATTAAAGTTAATGCCAGGTCATATCTAACCATGCGCAAATGTACTTTAACTAATCGTGCCTAAATTTGATACCTGCAAATGCAGCAACGTGATTAGCCTAAATTTGTCATTTTTAATACACATTAAATTAGGCTAATGTGCATTAATACATCTTGTGCAGACACACCCCATGGAGTCCTGCACTTGGGAGGCTGATTTCTATTCTCTCTCAACAATGTGACTTGCATCACTGGTATAAAATCAGGCACGCTGAAAACTTAAGACTCTATAAGGATTTGAAGCAAGCAAATGAGTTATGGAATCATAGAATCAAACTGCAATATGGACTTCTCTTTACTTTTTATTGCCACTCTGAAGTATGTTTTTTTTGGATAAATGGATAAGTGTAAAGCCATTATACCTGACAACTCAAATCGCAGCTCTACTCCTTCCATGTTGCAAGAGGGTGGTATAATCTGAAAGAATCTCACAGTATATACAGCTCAATTCCAATAGGTTCTGCCTTAGCCTGATTAACTGACCCATTGCGGGGGTAGAATCGAGACTTTAGTCACTCCCTGAACTTTCCTAGGAAAAGGAAGTACTAAGAGCCACATAGAACTAGTTCTTCATCACTATATCCTGAGTGATTAAGGCAGCCGTGCAGAGGTAGTGACTGGGAGAGCATGCTTTAATTCTCTGTATTTTCACATGGGTACTTAAAACTGGGCCAATATCTGGCTCTCAGAAAGAATGTTTCATTTCCTGTCCGAAGTTGTAGTGAAAGTGTCGTTTGCATTGTTCAACAGTATTTTTGCACTCCAGGGCTTCATTTCAATTTAGGTGAAGGGCTCTCTCTCTGTAATTTGTTCATTAGCTTGTGAAGTACATGAGACTCTTTCACAGTACAAGACACTGTATAATGCAAGACCATGTATTCAAAGTAATGAGTGGCATTTTAAACCACTGAATTACATTATGAGTAGGAATGGGTGACTGTTTGGAAAAAAGATAAGAAATCATCTTGTATTGTTACCTGAAATAGAAATCAAACCTTTTCTGCATTTTAGACTTAAAATGCACAGTTGACTTGATTATTGCTATTGTTTTAATGTAAATGTCTTCACCCTAGTTTCTTCTTTTAGCCAAATTGCCAGGCTACCATCAAAGAGTCTGATGGTGAGGTATCTACTGCCCTACTACAACTGGGAAAGATAGACAATCTTCTGAGAAGGCCTATTGTTGTGAGACTTCAGACTCAGGTTTCACACATACAAGAGTTTCCAATACTGTAATATGGAAAAGCAGCTAAACTTTGGGATGTTCAAACTAGAAATCCAAACCATTGGAATGTTCTCCCATTGCTTAGACATTAATTTAGTGGTTGTGGGCCATATTCTGACCTTAAAAATATGAGTGCATGCCTAACTCCTACTCACTTTAAATGTAATTGCATACAGGCATCAGAGACGGAACTGGCTCCAAAGTGGGATCTACCCTTCTACCTCATCTTGTTGCACTATATGGCATCTGGTCAGAAGACTACTTCTCCACATTCCATGGATGAACTAGAGGCAAATTTGCCTTTATTGACATTTCCAATATTTTTTGTTACACATTTCTGTGAATGGACATGAAGGGCCTAGCTGCACCAGAGCCCCAGGAGCTTTGTTTTAAAGATGCTCATCAACAAGGTTTGGCATATGTATTTATACTTTTGATTCTTCACTATGTTTACCCCATAGTAACGGCCTGGAAAAGTCATCCATTTCTTTTTTATGGAGGGAGAAAATTTTATATTTTTATGGTAACTCAGCTCTGGGCCTGTCTCAAGCAAAAGTTGCTGATCATATTATCTTGCATTCCATGTAATGATTGTCGGCGTGGGTTACAATGTGGAACTGTGTGGAAACCATTAACCTGTTTTCCTTAAACATGAGTAAAGATCACACAATCTTAGTTAAGGCAGGAGTTATTCTGATAAAATAGTACTTGGAGCTTCATTTCCAAAACATAAAAAGGCAGCCTACATACTGTTGTTCCTGTGTTCATAGATTCTACTGACTAGTAGGACATGGTCTGCCCAATAATGCAGCCCTTCAGCATTGGCCTTGGGTGTACAGGAACCACAGGCCTGACTAGTCATTTCAAGAGGGAAACCACCTACATGGATGGGCAAGTGCCTAGTCATGTAGGGCCTACACTACAGAATGGCCTTATGTTAACCTTCCTTGGGGCCCTTGGCACAGGGACAAGCTGAGGGAGTGGCCAACGGAGGAAGAAGGCAGGGCTGGAGCACCAAACAACTTCACTAAGGATTGTAGTAGGCACTGAGCAGTCCCGGGGGTTACTCTTGTTTACACCATGGACTGCTGTTGTGCCTGGCTGCTTCCAGAATGTATGAGGCAAAGGTGATAAATGGCACCTTCTGCTTCTCCCACCTTTCTGCGTTGTATGAAGATCAAATTGACCACAGTTGGGGCCAGCTTATTGCCATCCTCTACATTTCATGATTCTGCAATTCCATTTGGATGGGTTTTGGAGACTTAATCACATCACAAGCAATTACTCTCTTTTAATTTGGTGAATAATAAAGTAATATGAATCATAGGATGTCTTGCCTTTTTAAATGTGTCTTCTTTCTTTTTACACTTCCTGATTATAATGCCTTCATTGTCTGTTTTCAGTTACAGATTAATCTATGCCTTAAGGTTCAAAGGTATTTGGTTTTTGTTCTGGACCATCTATATTTTCAGACAATTCTATTATTTTGGAAAGACCTTTTGTCTCTTTGGAGTCCACACTGTACTCTGTTTTACTTTATTTAGCAAAAGTATGTGTTCAGGTTCAGTATGTTGGTAATTAATTACAATGGATCTGAACTGGGCCAGACAGAAAAACAGGCCACTTCTCTGTAGGTGGATGAAGGAAAGACCAGGCATTTCATGTTTCCTCCTACTACATTCAGCATTAGGATCCTGTTGTGAGGACAGAAGTGGATCAGTGTAGTATCCCCAATAGGTCTATTGGTCTTTTTTTTTCCTGATGGCATATCAAGGCTTCCTGAAAGTCCATGTGCAGTGTCTATTTCAGTACCAAAAAAAAGGGTTCTGCAATGAAAAATATTCAGATTAGGTAACTGAACCTACAAAATGAAGCCAACAGCAGTCAGAATTGGCATAAACCATGGGGAGAAATGCAGTGCTGTAGCAAAAGTCTTTTGAAAGAAAAGCTTCTATTACCTTGCTTTTAAAGAGGATAATTCTTAAATTAAGAGTATTTTTCTTTTCAAATTACATGAAATTTCACATAGGAAAAGCCATTTCTTACAATATATAAGAAGTTAATTGCATCTAATTTTTTTTATTATTAAAATGTTATTTCTAATGACAACTGGCTGAAAAGCGCCTTTTCATTCTAGATCTCTAATTAAAATGGAGTCCGCAAGAGTTGTGATGAAAGTTCTTATCAACTATTGGTTGATCAGCGGTCTATGTGAAATAAGCATTCAGGTTTTAATAGAAGGGTAAACAGTCCTCACTGCAAAAATCAAGACCACAATTACCATTAATAGACTGACCTATAATGGGGACTGAAGCATTCTTTTTACTTTTCAAAGTAGTCCTTCAAATCTTTAGTTGTCCACAAGAATTGTGAGGGAACTTTCACTGGCACTGCCAAAGTTGGACTTTTCTGTGGAGAAAGAGATTAATTATTAGCCAAGACTGTCAATCCATTTGCTTTCATGAGCATTGCATTCATGCAAAAATAAGGTGAAAAAGCCATTTCAAAGTCTTGCCTGTAACTAAATAGTAAATAAATCCTTTTCAGAGGAGCCAAATGTCAGTGACTTAGTAAGTTCTATCTTGCTTCAGATATTGTTAGAACAATTAGCAGTTTTTAATTTAATAGTTAAGCAGAATGTTAAAGAGGAAAAACTTATGTCTAAGGACTGCTTTGATTCTTCCTATCACATGTGAAAAGCAATTAAAATAGGTTTTTTTCAGCATTTATAGCAGTCCTTTTATGTGATGTAACAAGGGACCCAGACACTGTTACTTAGGTGTAAGGGAGGGGGAGGAGAGGTAACTGTGGCAGGGAGCCAGGAGTTCCTGCCCCTTGAAGAAGATGTAGCAAGCTCAGCTGGCTTTGCCGGGCCACAGATGCAAGAAGGCAGGCTGGCCTTTGACTGACACGGTAAGCCCTGTGCAGGCTTGGGGAAGGCATGTGACCAAAAGGGGTTGTGGCTTCTAGGCACATAAACCCAGGTCCTGCATGCTTAAGAGAGGAGCTCCTGAGGGAGATGTCTGCAGTGGATGGACTAGCAGATGTTCCCTGGAGCTCTAATTAGAACGCTTTGGAGCAGACTTGATTAATCAAGTCTTCTCCATGTTCTAATTAAAACACTCCAGCTTGGCCTCATTGTCATGTGTATAAGCCCCCATGGGTTTAAAAATGGCTCCCGGGGCACTTCATCTAAACCTCACTTGATGAGTTTTAGATAAAGTGCCCCAGCAGCCATTTTTAAACCCATGGGGGCTTAGACAGATGGCAATGAAACATTTTAATTAGAGCAGCTCTCTAGGAACCACTCTAATTAAAATGTGCCCCCCACCACCCCTGAGCACGTGTAGGCAGGCTAAAGAGAGTTGATGACCCTGCAGTGAAGTAAAGACCAAGACCTGGTAGACCCTTTTGTAGTGAAGCAGGGGCTCTTGTTTATGTTGGGTGTTAGGCTTTCGACCAGAGCACCTTGGTTGTGGCTTTTGGGTAGGTCTGGAGGCCATGGAGGTGGTGCTGGGTAGGGCATTCTGCACTAGGTAGCCAAGTTGGGGTCAAGGACCTGAGGGTTATGGGCTGGAGAGGCAAGCAGCCTGGCTTGGGGTTAAGGACCAGAGAGCTGAGGACTGGAGAAACAAGAAGACCAGCCTGGGGTAAGGAACCAGAAAGCTGAGGATGGAGACAGTGAGGGTAGCCCAGCCTGGGGTCAGGCACCCTGATGCTAAGGGCTGGCCCAGAGTGGGGAAAACAGGGGCCCAGAGACGCAGAGAACAGACAAGGCTGAGGTTGAGAGAGCTGGGCTCATATTAGTGGGCCAGGGCTGGAGGCCTGCAGAAGAAAGGGAGGTTAAAGTCAGGAGGGCTGAGGCCTCTACAAGGAATGGAATGGTGTATAGAGGAACATCTGCAAGGCATGGGCCTGGCTGTAGGGATAGAAGGAGACCAAAAATTTAGCCTTTAAGGGGACATAAGGACATAAGGAACTGGCACAGACACCAGCCTCTGAGGACAGCCTCCTTTCATCAAATTTTACAGCAACATGTGGCAGGCAAGGAACCAGGATGGGACTCCGGGAGGCAAGGACTAGAGCCAGGCAGGGTTGAGGGGACCACTAGGGGGCATTATGGCAACCTCTAGCTCTTCACCTGTTACACATGACTGAGAATATAGAGAAATGTGTTTTGCTCAGTAACTTTGGAGTTTGCCGTTACTTGTTAAAAACATCTGTTCAATAATGGTGGATTTAGTTTTAATCTATGGGAGCATATCTTTATAGAGCACTTCATGATTTGCAGTATTTTCTTTTGTCACAAACACTTACTGTAAGCACTACATTAGATCTGTCTATGATAAGTAGTTTTCAGAGGGTTTAATGTATATATATTGCCATCACTTTTATAACATTTTCTGGATGAGAAGACTTTCCTGATCAACCTTCTGGGCCTCTTCCTCTAAATGTGACACAATGGTAAATCAACTCCTTTTACATACTTTGTGTTCAAAGAAAGGGTTTGAATATGCTAGAGGCATATATAGCAACATTTTGCTGCTGTGGGTTGGAGCATGTGAGCCCACACTTCTCCCAGCCCTACAGGCCACAAATTTTCTCCCCTTCCCTGCCCCTGAGAGTGCAAGCTGCCTGTGCTTACCATTGCTGCACTTACCTTCCCTACAGAGGGGTTGGGCAAGTGCAGGCACAACACAGCAGCAAGGAGGGCTGCAAAGGAAGGTGCTGCAGAAAGAATGGGAGGCATGGCCAGCTTTATGTCACTAATTCCCCATGCTGCCCTGGGCTGGATTGAAACATCCTGGGCCAAATCCAACCTTTTCACAGGCTGGATCCATCTTACAGGCCATTAATTACTGGTCCCTGGATTATGCAGTTCTTACTCACAAAATAACTCAACATTGTTTTTGCCTTATAGAAAACATGGGATGCAAGACTACACATGCAAAATGTCCTGCATTACTTATATCCCATGGTTCACTGTAACTCCCTGTGTGCAGATAAGGAGAAAAGGAAGCTAGAGTTTGTCAGGGTGTGCCAGCCCCAGACAAGTTTATGTACACTCTGTACAACATAGCAGGCTTTGCTCTGTACTTGCCCAGGGATTCCATTGCATCAGGGTTGTTTGGTGACAGGTGGACCTACACATAGACTGACTCTTCTCTCTGTGACACCAGTTTTTCACTAATCTATCTATTTGAATGCTCACACATAGACACACATTCTCTTGAGGAGGAGAGAACATTCTATAGCCCCTGACAAAACTGTCTGCCACAGAGATTTACCTATTCTAAAGCAGGTCAAGGATGCCAGCAACAGCTTCCTAGGCTACACCATTTTCCTCTTGACCTTCAACTATTTCCCCTTTAGGTTTCTGTAGTAGAGGTAATTTTTACTTACACTTTATGCAAATGAATTGGAGCAAAAAAAGCATATCAAATGAATGAAATAGTCAGTATAATCAACACACACTACCTTGAGGTAACAAAGAAAACACTCTACCCAAGGCATTTTTTAAATTCAAAGGGGAGGAAAACTTGGGGTCTTTACTATTGCTACTGATTTTTATGTGTCACTAGTGTTAGAGCAATATGAATCCCTAAAACAGCCAGCCAGCCAGCCTAATACAATTATTATAGACTCACTCTTTACAGTGCTTCTCTGGAAAAGCTCACATGCATAATAGGGACAGAATCAGAACTACATGAAGTTCAGTAATGCAAGTAGTGGACAGTGGAATTGTACGGCAATGGAGCACATCAATCAAAGCAGAGTAATTGTCTTAAAATGCTCTAACTGGCATTCTTTTCAATTCTCTATGACTGATCATTTTGTTTCTCTTCATTTCCTTTGGCATCCTAATTATAATGAAACTGTCTACTGCCATGATTCACTGACAAGTTCTTCTACTTGTTCACAAAATCTTATCTTTTTTTCACCTTTATTTTTTGCAGTGGAGGAGGAGATTAAGTTGCATTATTGTGCTGCCTTTAATTGAAAACATTCATGGATATTAGGGCCGTGCAAAGCTTTGGTAGCCTATTTGATTCAGAGGAGATTCGGCCCGATTTGGCAGGAGAATCTCTGAATCCGAATCAAATTGTGAGACCAATTAAAAGATTTGGGGCTGGTTTGGAGATTTGACCATAGACTAAACAGGCTGGGGTGGGGGGACATGGGATGCGGACGCTGCTGCTGCTTGCCCAGCTGGGGCGGGGAAGTGCTGGGGGGACAGGCGCTGCCGTCACTTACCCAGCCTGCATGGGGGATGGGCGCTGCCGCCACTTGCCTGGCTAGTGTTGGGGAGCATGGGATGCAGGCATGGCAGTGCTAGGAGTGGGGGTTTTGCCCTGCTGCCGCTTGCCCCCTTCCGCCTGGAGTTAGCCATGCCTGCATCGCGCCCCTCCCAACACCTCTCCCTGAGTCCCATGCTCCCTGCCCCAGCGGGGCAGATTGTCTCAGCCCCAATCCCTTTCTCCCCCATGCCCCTTTCCTCCCCCCCTCACCCGCTACAACAGACTTATCAGCTTACAACAGACTTATCAGCTGAAGGCAGCTGTGTAGGTGAGGACTGCTGCCTGTTTAGTCTATGGCCAAATCTCTGAAGTGGCACCAGATCTTCGGATCCAATTTGGCCAAATCAAATTCGTATAGTGATTCGAATCACTGTCCCTCCGATTAAGCCGAATCCAAATCCAAAGTGAATTCTTGCTACTTTGCACAAGCCTAATAGATATTTAAACCTATTTCTTTCTTCAACTGTTTCTGATAAAAAGTTTGTTTTTGGATGAGGAAATTGCATAAGTATGGCCAGTATTAGGAATAAATTCTTAGACTCTAATCACTCTGAGATCTATACATGGTTCTAAGGACTAAATCTGATGCTTATAATTGGATCTGAAAACTTTCATCTGAAAACTTATCATCTAGGTTCAATAATTCATAGATTCATAGATGCTAGGGTCAGAAGAGACCTCATCCAGTCCGACCCCCTGCCTAGGCAGAAAGGAGTGCTGGGGTCAGATGACCCCAGCCAGATGCCTATCCAGCCTTCTCTTAAAGACCCCCAAGGTAGGGGAGAGCACCATTCCAAATTTTGACTGCCCTTACCAAGAAGAAGTTTTTCCTGATATCTAACCTAAATCTGCTCTCTGTCAGTTTGTGACCATTGTTCCTTGTTACCACAAGAGGTGCCTGGGTGAACAGAGCATCTCTGGTCCCTTGCTGCGTCCCCCTAATGAATTTGTAGGCGGGCACAAGATCACCTTTCAGCCTTCATTTGCAGAGGCTGAAGAGGTCCAGGTCCCTCACTCTCTCCTCCATAGGGCTTGTCCTGTAAGCCCCTAACCATATGAATGGCCCTGCTCTGGACCCTCTTGAGACTATCAACATCCTTCTTGAAGTATGGCGCCCAAAACTGGGTGCAGTACTCCAACTGCGGTCTGATCAATGCTGCATAGAGGGGAAGTATCACCTCCTTGGATCTATTTGTCATGCATCTGCTGATTGTGCTTTGCTGATGATTTTGTCAGACTGACGACTCATGTTCATCTTGGAGTCCACTATGACTCCGAGATCCCTTTCCGCTTCTGTGCTGCTGAGAGGGTCACTTCCCAGCCAGTAAGTGTGCTGGATATTTTTGCGCCCCAGGTGCAGCACTCTGCACTTGTCCTTGTTGTATTGCATCCTATTGTGCACTGCCGACTTTTCTAACCTGTCCAGGTCTGCCTGCAACCGTTCCTTACCCTCTGGAGTGTGCACTTCACCATACAATTTAGTATTGTCCACAAATTCTGACAGAGTACACTTCACACCCACATCCAAGTCACTGATGAAAATATGGAAGAATACAGGCCCAAGGACCGAACCCTGTGGGACCCCACTACCCACATCCTTCCAGATTGATACTGACCCCCAAGGAAGTTTTTTGGCTCCTTTCCCCCTTTTCTTCATACTGGGATAGTCTCCCTCTGTGCCTGAAGGATCACTTCCTTTAGGAATGACCACCCTTCCTGGACTCCCATCTTGCCAATACTCTTCTCCTGCAGTGCGTCATTGACTAGACTCCTAAGCACGCTGAAGTTAGCTTTCCTAAAGTAAAGCACTTCCACCCTACTAGTTATCTTACTCACCCTGCACTGTATGGTGAAGTCAACTGATTGGTGGTCACTGTCCCCAAGGTGACCATAAATCTGCAGTTCCCCTACCAGGTCCTCCCCCATAGCCAACACCAAGTCCAGTAAGGCATTCCCTCTAGTGGGACCATATGCCTCCTGCATTAGGTGAAGGTCCTGCATGCAGGTCAAGAACCTACATGAATGGTTGGATTTGGCTGAGTGCTCCTCCCAGCAGATGTCAGGGTAATTTAGGTCCCCCGTGACAACCATGTCCCTAGACTGTACAGCCTCTGAGAGCTCCCTCAAGAATTTCAAGTCTAGCTTTTTCTCTTGGCAGTGGGTCCCACCCACTGCCCCACAGCAGACCCCTACTACCAAGTCCCTTTCCCCATGACCTCCATGTATCCTAACCTTTTAGAACTTAACAGCATCTTTCTGTCAAACTGGGATCTGGCATGATTCTAGCTACAACTCAGTTAAAGTTACTAATGACATTTCGTTATCTTTGGGTAATAACAACTAACTTAGAGCTATTTTTATTGACCTAAGCAAAGCTCTTGGCACAGTTGATCATAATATTTTAGTGAAAAAATAATGACTACAGGACTTCCTTGCCTCAGCTCTTGTGTTGCTGAGATATTATATATCAAATTGCTGTCAAATAAAACCCCTTGTAAAGAGCAGTGAATTGAAATGTCTCTGCTGGAGCACCCAAGGCTCAGCTTCTGGCCTGCCATTTTATTTATTTGTTTTGTAACAAAAGGAGTGCTATTGATTCATTTTTAGAACAGTTTCTTGCCTAAGTAAGTGATACCATTATTTATAGCTCAGAAAATCATTTCTTCAGTACTCTTTCTGGTCTCCATTGGAGTTCTGAGAAATTAAAAAATGGCTCAAAGTGATCCCATTCATTTAACATTCACAGAATATCAGTACTTGAGAGATGCTTCAGGTTCCTGGTATGCAGACCTCATGGTCTGTGTCAATGAGTTGGGAAGTCCCACCTTTAACTCTTTTGTGCAATGTTAAATAAACATTTTTTTACACTGGAATCAAACTCCTTTCCTCATTGCATTTTTCAATAGGGGAGCTGGGGAGAAGGTGATTTCAAAAGCTGGAACTAAGGCCAAATCTGAACACAGTGGTTAGGATCTCGCTATTTAATAGGTTGAATGAAAACTTACATCGGTGTACCCATAGGCCCAAAGAGGGCTGTTTTCAAACTCAATCAGTATCTAAATGTTTTGGTTCAGGCTGACATCCACTTCAGAAATCATAAGCACTGTTTAGTTATGGTGCATAAATAGCATCTTGCACCCTGGCCATGGATAGTTCCCCCATGGGCCTGGGGGATAAGGTGAACAGCAGAGGCTTCTGAAGGTGGGAGGCAGTGGGGGCCTGCTGTGGGGCAGTGGGTGGGACCCAGGGACCCTGCAGTGCTGTGGCCTGGTACCTGGTGTGGAGTGGCCTGGATGTAGGCTCTACTGGCTGGTAGTAGCTAGCCGGTTGCTGCTGGAGCAGCTCCATACAGCACTGCTCCGGGGCCTCCAGCCAGGCCCAGTGCTCCCGCTGTGCCTGGTCCCATGCCTCCTCCTGGGCAGTCTCCTGGGTGATGTCTTGCTCCCGCCAATGCAGCTTCCATACCTGCTCCCATGCTGCCCAGGTCTCCACCACTGCCACCAGCTGCTGGAAGAGGAGGGTTTAGTCTGTGGTGCGGTGCTGGAGCAGCTGGTGCATCTGGGCGGCTTCAGGAGTGGGCAGCAGTGACCCTGAGGTGGCACTCCTGCAGGGCCCTGCAGCCTCTCTCCTGCATCTAGATGTTGGCCCCGCAAAGGCAAAAGACAGAAGCCTTTTGTGTGAGTTTGCAGCATTTCAGAGATAAGTTGCTCTGGGGCCCATGCTGCCCAGCCTCAGATCAGAGGTTGGCTGTGCACTGGTGCCTAGGGATCATGGTAAGTTGTCTGGGCAGGGCTAGGCCCAGGTAGCCACTGGCCAAGCCCCCTGACCCTGCTTGCTCCCCTGGGGCTGGCGACTGGGTGCTGGCCATAAGCAACCTGCCTTCCCTACCCCCATCCCAGGGTGGGCCAGGCTAGGCTGCAGGCAGCACCAGTTGCTGCAACTCCAGGCCCCACTGCCCACCCCTCCACCCTGCTCCCTGAAGGCCAGGTGCTCTGCTGTGCTGCCACCCAGCCCACGGCTCCCAGGATCGGGGCATGCAGGGCTCCCAGACAACTGGGGCAAGGGATTGTCCATGATTCTGCCTTTCCCACTGGGGGATGCCCCTCCATGCCACTGCTGTGCCCCAAGTATGCCCCTGCTGCATGTGCTGTGAGTGGTGTGTGATGAGCTGTTTGTGCAAGTGGAGGGTTGCCTGAGTTGGTATGCCCTGCTGCTGCTGATCCTGCTGGTGCCCTGGGCACACCTGTGCTCCTGGTTTGGGACCCTGAGCTATGATGGCATGGGGGAAAATCTTGGGCCACCCTGCAACCTCCATCACTGCCTGGAGAGGTGCCTGTTGCAGCGGTATACAACCCCACCTCCCGCTGCCAAAGAGGACATCACCACCAGGATTGATGCCTTCCTCAGCATGTGAGAGGCCTGTGCCTGCCCAGCTGTGTCTGCCCATAGAAGCCAGTGATGGTGGTGATGGCAGCGAGCAGCGAGTGCTCATAGAAGCTGGCAGTGGGAGCAGCCAGTCTCAGGGGGATCCCCTACTAGTTGCCTATGGCCACTGGGATGGGGTCTCCAAGCTGCCAGTGAATGCAGCAGGTGGGGAGCTGGGAGGGGTGGGGTGCTGAAGGCCCAAGGTCTCTTCCTCCAGTGACGCATCACCAGAGGCATCACGCAGGGTGAGGGTGAGGGCAGGCTGCCCCTGCTGGTGGCACCTGCAGGGGTGTGGCCTGTTTCCCAGGGCACCAAACAGCAGGTCAGCTCCCTCATGAAGGTCATGATCTTCTGGGCACAACTGAACTGACAATTGAAGTTGGTCATGGCCACCCATGATCATGCTTGCAAGATCTTGGCCTTCACGCGGCACTACCAAACCATCCAGGACTGGCCTTGACATGCATCCCAGCTGTATAAGCCTCATAAATGTGGGTGTTTGAGTGCACCCCTCATGTGAACTGCTTCCGGATGTTGGCCCCAACCCAGAGCACCATGAAGTTGTGCACCGCCTCATGGGTCCAGTTGAGTGCCCAAGGCTCAACGAGGATGACATCTTGGACATGGCCCCCATGCGAGCTGTCTGGGTCCCTGCATGGCTGTCCCTGTGAAGCTGGTCCTAGAGGTCTGCCAGCAGCACCCTGGACAGGGGCATGGCCAGGGATGGGTAGCCATGTGACAGAGGCACTTCACCACAGTGCCGGCAAAAAGACAGAGCTGGAGTTGAGCAGAATCAGGGAGCAGGTGCTGGCCCAGCCCTGGAGGAGGAGAGGCAGGCAACCAGGAGTCCTGGGTCTGGGCTCTGGCCTACCTCCTAGTGGCTGGGCAGATCTAGCACTAAAATCCCTGCATTAACGTGTGTGTGGAATTCGCCATCCAGCGTAGGGTGTCAAGGACCCGCAGCAAGGCGGTAGCCCTAGACTTCAGGAGGGCCAA